AATCTGTGGCTTGTGGCTTATATCAGGGGTAAAACCCATATTAGGAAATTTGAAATTTGGTTCGAGAAAAGTGGTCCCTGCCTGATGATTTAACAGAACCAGAGCCCGGAATATTTATCGACAACAAAATTATATTATTTGATAGTTTGGACTTTGGCATTAACAAGACCAAGACTTTTTCCTTAGATCTTTCTGTAAATTGGACCACATTAGCACCAGCATTCACCAAAATTGGTAAACCATTAAAAGTGTTGACGTTTCGCCGTACTGCTTTTAGTGCGCTTAAAAAAAACAATCGTTCGTTAATATATGCTTTCGGTGGAGCAATTGTAAGTATAAATGCAAAAATAATACTTTAATTTTTAATTTTTTCAATTAATTTTGAAATATAATGAACAGCCGGTCAATGAAAGTGATTGGAATCTAGGAATTATTGTAAACGACTTTTATCAAATTGATGTAGAGTCTTTTTCAATTTCGTCTGTTATATCCGAAGGTATTACACCAAGTGAGCGATGTGATCTGAGTTCAATTTTTGATGACAAAGGAAAACTTTATATCTGGGGTGGATATACTCGGGGAGCTATATCAGATCAAGCCATGCACATATTTGACACATTTGATTCAACATGGAACCGAATTCTTCCTTCTCATGTTCCTATACAAAGGGCTTTTTATTCAGTGACTTTTAGAGATGGAAAAATTTATTATATTGGTGGTACTTTTGCAAATACTGATGAATGTGTCGACATTCACGAGGTATTACATGTATTCATTACGTATATTTTTTGATAAAAAAGTTTATATATTTAAAATTATTCTTTTAAAGATTTTGATAAAAAAAGTTTATATCGATATATTTAAAATTATTCTTTTAAAGATTTTGATATATGATACTCTCAATACAAATGATAATCCATGGACTATAAGAGTAAGTGAGCTTTATAAATGTTAGATTTGCAAATATTTGAGTATTAATTTACAACTAATTACAAGAACGCGACAGCTAAGGGATATATACATAACCGCTATGCTCACTCAGCCGTTCTAGGTATGCAAATATTCAGTAACAATAAATGTTCTAATTATCACGTAAACTCGTATGAATAACTCACATAAATCATAGCGCCCAATAATCAAAGCATCATCCTATATGGTGGCTCATTATCGAATAATTCAGGCATTGTGCCCGATTATTTGATTACCTTAGACCTGCAAACATTCGAACTTTCAGAACTTCTAACTAAAAACAAGCTTAGCATTACCGATGTAACGATTTATCCTACAACTGTCATATATAATAATTTTATGATTGTATGCCTAGGTAAGTATTTATTAAATTACATATAATTAAAAGTTAAATAATAAACAATTATTAATTTTTACTTTTAAAAATTTAAGGATATTTTTTTAATACCACAAATCCTGTCAAAGTCTTAGATTTAAACGATTATACATGGGTTGATAAATTTGTCGCAACTCCAAGTCCATCATCACAAAGCTCAAGTTCAATAGCGTCATCTGAAAAAAGTCCTAAAAAAATTATAATTATTATTTCCACAGTCGGATCAATTGTTGTGGTTTTACTTGCAGGTTTCATAGCCTTCTTGTTACGGAATCGAAGAAAACAACAAGAAACAATTCATAGCAACTTGGCCGAAGTTAATAATCAAGTAAATCCAGCAATACATAGCAACTTGGCCGAAATTAATAATCAAGTTACTCCAACAATACCTAGCAACTTGGCCGAAATTAGTAATCAAAATATCCAACACTCTATGATTCCGCAGGCTCAAAATCAATTAGCTTTTAAGCCTAATTCACAAGAACCTTGAATTTATATTGCTTAACACAAAACCGTTTCGTTTAATATATCAAGAGAAAACGATTATCTATTCTAAAGAAATCGTGCTTTCATCGGATGTTTTAATACGAAACTTTAAATAAAGTGATAATTCGAGTATTTAGCTATTCATTTTATAGACGTGTATTTTAGATATTGGATATTGATAATAACATTTACCAATCAAACTGCTAATTTCTGACAAGTGCTCGTATCTCTCACCCAAATTTGCCTATTTCTATAACCATCGGAACCAAATGTCATTAATTGTAAGAATACCTTTGTTGCTTTGTACTACCGACAAAGGTGGCTCTACTTCCATTAATTGATTTTTTTCGTCGATGATACCTTAAAAAAGTACTCTAGCCAAAATTGATATTGCAAGAATTGTTCCAATAACGGCGCGGACTACACCGACGCGTGAATTTGGGGTTTTCTTGTGGGCCTTGAACTCATTGTAAAGACTTCCTTCCTCCTTGGATTTCAAGTGATATTTTTTGAATTATTTTAATTTTGCTGAGCAAACATTTTAGTGAACGTTCAAAGAATTATTACAATCAATATTTTGTTTCCTACATGATGTGATAAAATAAAATGTTAAATAGGCTACTGCTATATTTAAAGCAAATGTCAAAAATGCAATATGTTACATGTGGTCCTATAACAAAACAAAAATGTCAATTGTAATTTTTTTATGATATATTCAATATTGATTCTGATGGAATTATCGTTTCCAATACTGGTGACTGATTCGTAGTAAATGATCATTTTGGATTAGCGTGCCATCACCGTTTGCGCCATCTTCAGAGCTATCTCCATTTGTAGAAGTTCCTACAGAGCTTATATCGCTAAATATATGGCGAATGGTAGTAAAGACTGCGTGATTTCTGGTCTCGTTTGCAACTGTACTTGAGATCGTACTTTCGCTACTTGCATCATCATCATCATGGGCGCTTCCATTGATATGCTGTGTATTCGTAATCCCATTCTTGATCCCGTTACCATAGCTATTGACGAATACTGGAACAACTGAATTGAATGAAATCTTCTGCCATAGCCAACAATCTACCAACCCTTTCACAAACAATCCAATATCACCACCCTCGTCACACATTCCCCCTCTATGAATTTCGCGAATATCCAAATACATGGCGCCAATATATGCCAAAAAACAGTCTGATAAAATTCGCTGATTAGCACGAACTTTTTCTGGAGGAATTGAAGCACATATCTTTGAATCGAGCTGTGTTCCCAACGCGAATTCAGCAAGTTGATTGCGAGCAGAAATAGTATCAACTAGCTTTTGGAGCTGACGCGCGTTATGGGTTGGATATCTATGGAAAATGTCGTTTGTCAGTTGCATCAAGAACGAAAAGTGGCCAAGAAAGCGGAGACGGTGGAAGGTAATGCATGGATTCTCAACTATGTTGTTGTGTCTGTTTATGCTTGGATGAGTTAACGCATTACTTTCCAAATTAGGATCATTTATGTGAGGAAGTTGTGGAAATTCAAGTTGTGCCATAATAAATATGAATAGAATTGTATTTATTATAAGTGAATTCAGTGAAGAAAAATAATAACAAATACTTGTTTTATCTTAAACAAGAATTATAAATACAAATGAAAAAGCGGTTTTTATTATTTCAAACAGATAAAACACATGCGATCGATCGTTAATTTCATCAAAGTTGGATCCTGCATAGTCAACTATGACATAATAATGAAATACATGTAGTAAAGTAATTCGAGCATCAAAGTATCAACAATATCAAAGTCGAGAAAATGTTGATTAACCCGTATTTTAATTATCTAGTCATTATTGTTATGTTCCAAATTTCTATACAAGAAAATTCATTTTAAAGCTTTAATGATTCTCTAAATATACAACAAGATATGTTGCATTATCGATTTCAGCACTTATCGTCATGATTTAGTGATAATGATGCTGGCAATTGTTAAAGACCAGCAAACAAATATGAAGGATATTATCTTGAAATTGAAACAGATCCCTGTCGTGATACTTCAGAAGAACACGCTAGTGAGATTTTATTCAACTTGTCAAAGCATTGGAAACACTAATAATTTGATTTTTTATGAAGAATCTTTAGAGAAGCACTTCCGTTAAAGGAGTGCAATTTAAAAAATTAGCCTTTCCAGAAACTCATCTTCTGTTGAAGATTTATATAGTCAACGATTCAGTAGCAAATATCGGAAGACTCGACGTGATGTTTAGTTTAATATCAAGATGATTAATTATTATTCGATAATGAAGGCAATAACAATCATGATGATTACGTAATATGATACAGTGAAAAAATGATATCTTGCATAATTGCATTTAGAATTGTATGTTTTCATAAATATCGATATGTATACGTAGGTAGTACTTTAGTAAATAGGCTGAGCATCTAAAATAATTAAACTCATGTAATAGAAAATTCTATTCGCTTCTCTATAGAAAAACCTCAAAGCATTTATCCAGAAAATCGTCGGTATTTTAGTCCGGAATTTCAAAGGTTTATTAACTTAAGTTCAGATCCTGTATAGCGACAGGATTAATAAAATTACAGGTTTATTTACAGTATACATGTATTATAGAAAAACAAATTCACGATGCAAGAGTTATTATAAATTGTAATTATTTCATTCTTGCTCCAAATAATAGGTTTTCCTTTCTGGTAACTTCATTTGCATAAGATACTTGGTAAAGAGAAAAAAGAAATTTATGATCACAAAATTCATACAAGTGACCCGTTAAACCGGAAGCAACGAAAGAAGGAAATTTATTTGTTTATTAAGATATCCGGTTAAAGCTTATTGTTATTTTTTTAATTAATTGAAATTCCTTCACATTAGGACAGTTCCGGTTTAACGAGAGTTACGTACTGTGTATCGGAAAAAATAACAATTCTAAATTCATAATTTTCAAATCCCGAATATCACGATTCTCTTCAATCTTGCTTACAATTAGCAAAATTGGTATTACTGTGACACAATTTAGGCACTCGTCTCGTCGGCTTCAAACCTGTAGCTTTTCGTAATATTCAGCAACCGAATTGCGATCATAAATTTGAAGTAGCAAATGCAACTCAAAAACGCTGCTACATTTGATCATGTGCTTAATTAGTTTTTTGATTTTTCTAATTTATCCGATATCTTAATAAAAATGCTGATTGTAAATCAATCCTCTTGATTTGTTTTAGGCATAAACTTCTATAATAAAGCATTTAATTTATAAACATAATGCCACAAATATTATCGTTATATACAATATCATGAAACTATAACAAAATATAATAAAGGTCTAATTTGACAGAACAGTAACAAAATCGTATACTAAATTGAATATTCATTTCAGCGTTACTATAAATCAATAATGCGTAATGACTTTGTATGAGCTCCAGAAATTTTCAAGATCATTTTACGTGATTTACGCATTAAGTCCTTAAAGACGGAATTCTGTTTAACAAGATATTATTGTTTTTACAATATTTAAAGTAAAAAATCAACAGCTACTTGAGAATTTTGTCATCTGCATTCATTTATATGATATAATGGATCTGCTCTCTTTTGTTAGATTGATAGATAAAAATATATAGTAAAAAGCTGCGCTATTTTTATTATTGGGATTGTACATACTATTCATTCGAACATAATAATAGTACATGCGTCTACGTATATCGATATATCGCAAATGTCGTTACAAATGTAAGCGATTTTCGAAAGCATTTAATCGCTATTACTATATAGAATTTGGCTAAAGCAAATATATATCGATATAGATGAGACTCGGCGTGTCAAGATCATTGATAGTGTTCTACAACATGTAGCAGTAGTTTCAAACATTTTCCCCTATGTCAATTCATTTACACATTATTCTTTATTAAGAAGTTTGATATCCATATTGTGTAAAAAGCAATTTCTTTAACACTATCACTATCATCTATCGTTATTACTATTACATGTACGTACCAGTACTATGTAAATAGCTTTTCTGTTTGTGAAATTTGAGTGTGTAGTACCGGTACATGTATACATGTACTTTAAAGTCTCGGATTTTCGTTATTCTGAATGGAATAGTATTGATTCCACCAAGTCCAAATATACAATTTTCGGAACATCATTTTTTGCAGTTACGTACGTATCACTATTATTACTACATGTATCACAAACCAGCCACGTTTCATCAGTGGATAAACTTTATTATTCTATGGTGTATACCGATACCGATACCATCTAAAATCATTAAACTTTTGTATTTTATAAAATGGATAAACTTATTTGCTAAGAAGTAAATACAAAATTTAATCCGTAAATATGATAAAATAGGCCCGTTCTGAGCATATTTACGGATTAAATTTTGTATTTACTTCTTAGCAAAGAAGTTTATCCGTTTTATAAAATACAAACGTTTGATAACTTTAGATGGTATGCACCATATGCTTCATAAATATCAAGTCCCAAGGGAGGATGGGATGCATTCTCTCTGTACAAACAAATTTTAAGACTTTAAATGTCAGAATTATAATAAATTTAATCAATTCCCCAAACTTTTATAATTTCTATTATTAAAATTATCACTTAAAATTTATATACTTGTATTAATTTTTTATATAATTGATTTTTGGTTTAAGCAAATTTTAATTAGTGCTTCAGCTAACAGGATTAGCTATGTATATAATTGACTTTGATATTATTAAAATACTTTATTAATAATAACTTATTGTAAATTAATTATTTAATATTTTATATATAATAAAAATTTTGAATATTATTAATTCTTTAAATTTTTGTATTGATGACAAGATAATTAACAATTTATTCATTAAAAAATTTTTCATACATTATAAATTACAAATATTTTATTTAGTTATTTAACTTGTTTTTATTATTAATTCTTGTATATTGATATAATTAAATTTTTTCATTATATCAAATATTTAATATTAAATTATATTTGATACTAATAATATTTATATTTTGTTTCAAATTTATATTTGATCAATTTATTGTATTTATACAAAAATAATCTTATACAAATTTATATTACAAGTAAATATTTAAAATATTATATTAATTAAAAAGTTAAATAAAACTTTATTATTTAATATATTTTAAAAACTTAAAATTAAAGTTTTTTTAATAATGTAATATTAATATTTATTTATAAACTATATAATATAAAAATAAATTATAATTATAAGATTTATATTATAATATTATCATGAAAATAAATATTGGTAATTTCTTAATTTTCTTTTTATATCAGTATTTTCATTAATAAATATTTTCTAATTGTAAAAAGAATTATAATTTAATATTATTATTATTTTGCAATCAGAAAATTTTTCAATTTGTATCTAGAAAACCAGGCAATTAATTAATTAGCTTTATATTAATATAAATATATTATTTGAAATAATATATTTATGTTCATAGCCTCAACTTTGTAGATTCAGTAGTGGATTCAAGTTACAAGCTTGTATATTTTTGTAACACAATAGCAAACATTGACTATAAAAGAAGGCGGTGTTCAGTAGACTTACTTACCATATGTCATTCAGTGTTTAGCTCATAACATATGCTTCATCTTTTGCTTTTAAGGCTTTAAACATGATGCAGAAATATAAACAGATTTTTAAATACAAAAATTTCTCACTAAGGATATATTAAAGAACATACCGTGACATTTTAGGAATTGATTGTTAGTAAGTGTTAAATTGTGGTTGGTAGGATATATCAGAGAACTCTGACCTCAAGGTTCCGTTCAATATCATTATGAGTACTCCATAAAATTGTACGTGCTATCTAATATAAAAAGACTTGCCTTTGATTAAGATGATCGGATAGAAAAGCATGTTTACCAATTGTGTTCTTGCAACTAGATATTGTTACAGCACCAAAAGATATTATCAAAAGAGTATCGTCAACTTCTTATTACGGATAAAAGTCATTATATACCGATATCTATTTTATGCAAAGCAATCATCAACATCCATAGAAACACATTACATACGTCTTATCTTCCATAACGGAACAACAAGATATCATAGGATGTAGGTCGAGATTGGTCTCGTTTCTTTAATCGGTTCTCTAAATACAACATTTAGAAAATTTCCATTATACATATAAAGTTACTACACATACAATCAGAGATTCACAATTGCAATTCGTACAATTATCATTATAGTGGGTTTGTGCCTGTACAGGCTAACGCTAATAATATTTTCCTCATGATTAAAATACTCCGCAAAAATATAGGAATATCGCTGAATTATTAGAACTTGGGATTTGGCTTTTTCTTATATAAATATATTTATAATAGAAATGATCATAATTATCGTTTAAAATGATCATAAATAACGTCACTGCCATACACTAGCCACAACTTATGCTATTTATAGCATTTTTTCTTTGCACCATAATTGTCATGCATTATAGAACAAATTCCTTATTTTGCAAATTCGTATGAATGTGGGGATACGTACACATGTTCGATTTTTAACATTAGACACCCCTCATCGTTTTACATCATGCATACATTTAAGGTTTAATAAATCCTGAAGACGGCTTGTATTTTATCCGGATTTTTTTTTCATGCAGAAAATAAATATCGATATCTAATATTTTTATTAATTTAATTAATTAGTGATATTTTGATCGTTGCATTATTATTTTCCCCTCTCTTCTTTTTCTCTCCCGCTTTAACCCATTTTGAATAAGCAACTTTTAGAAGGATCATATGAAAAAAAAAGGCGCAGAAATGAAAAGCAACAATCCTTTTTAAATTCTGTGTTCAATGTGCGCTTTATTGTTTTCCCCAACACATAAGTTGATAATGGTATGAAGAACGATGGTGATTTAAGAAAAGAAATGTGGGGAAACCTTTGTGTCATAGCACACACCGACACAAAAAAAAATTTAATTAATTAAATTAATGTCGTAGTATCCGAGCCAGCCAACCTAAACTAAATACATGTATACATTTGTGAAAAAAAGTCGGGTGCTCCATTTTTCACTCGTATTCCCTAAACGAGAAATAAATAATGTTGATCTAGTGATGAATGGAATTTTGACTTAGCATATCGATGTTCATTCACATTCCTAGTCAGTAATAAATTTTCGCTGAAAAAGGAAGGTTGGGTTGGATTATTTGTGAGAATAGCTACTTGGCACAGTTATCTTCTATAACACAAAAGTTGTAGTAACGTCAATCACGATGCTTATAATTAGAAATAAAATAAGCACACCAATAACCATACAACGGAAATGAAAGAAAAAAAGAAAGTTACAAATGTATAAATGTATGCATGTATGTACAGTACATCGATATATGTAGTATAATTTTAATACAGATAAACACACACGTATACACTTTTTACCAAAATAGAGAGTGAGATAGAGATGGATAGTAGGAGAGTTTTTACTATAACTGTTGAACAGATAACTTGGTAGGAGATTGTTAGATACACAGAGACAGAGTCCCGAGGAGAATAATGAGAATGTCAAAACTTATCGTTATTTATTTGTTATTTTAAGTTACTTTATTTTTATTTTGTGTTAGTGTAATTTGTGTACGCTTGGAATAATTAATGGTACATGTATGATAGAAGATGGTGACCTTATTTTTTATATACAGTCGATAATGATTACTTTCTTTTTATAAATAAATACTCTCCGCTTTCATTTTCCTGTTCTTTTGGTCACTTTTCTATATAACTTGCCCCTATCACAAAAATCATTCGTCGACCGTCATTGTCATCATCACGTATATATTGAGTTTTCTCCGTCTTGTCTCCCTATCATCATATTACGTATTAGGTCATTTCTTCTATGGACAAAATTAGACATTTATATACACTAAAATAACAGGCACATACATACATACGAACATTCTTTCAAATCAAAATACCACACGGGTAATCCTCTCTGCAACGACATAAACGATAGCATACACTTGCATGTATACACTAACACATAACATTAATTCTTAATATCCATCTTCGCATACGCATTTACATTTTTAATATCCCGTTGCATCTTCTTGGATTTTTTTCACTGATAAAGCAACGACACAAGAAAATTTCTTTATTAAAAAGAAAAAAATATACTAAACATTCTTTTTTTGCAATCTTTTTTTCTACCATCAAACTTTTACAATCAACATTGTTTTCCTTTCTTTGACGTTTGGCCATAATACAAAGAAAAAATGCCGTCAGCAGATTTTTTGAGTTGTATGTCAAGAGACTTTACGAAACTTCTCAACAATCAAGACGAGTGCAATGTTACTGTCAAAGTTGGGTCAAGGGGAAAACCTTTTCGTGCGCACTCCATTATTCTGCGCGCGAGATCTCCGTATTTCCAAAAAATGTTGAATAAACGAAATGCTGACGTTACGTTGAATAAGTGGTTGGTCAAATTGCCGAACGTTTCGCCTGAGGTTTTTGAACTTATTTTAAGGTAAGCAGTCTATATCGTGCTTTTCGCTTAATACGATGATGAATATATATTAAGCCAATATTAATTTGCTTGACATATAATAGATATATTTACGGTGGAAGCATCGTATTTGAAAGAGTTAACACAAGGATTGTTCTTGATTTCTTGGCAGCTGCTGGTCTATTCCGTCTCGAAGATCTATACGACCACATTCAAACCTACCTTCTCGACGAAAAATCAGATTGGCTACGAGATTGCATAGTCACCACAAGCCAAATCGCAGAACAAAACATCGGGTTCAAAAAACTACGTAATTTTTGTAAACGAATTAAAGAACGAGAACCGGATCTCTACTTCAACTGCACGGACTTCACTTCTATCGATGAAAGATCCTTGATTCGTTTACTGCAGCGTGATGATCTCGGCATGGAAGAAACGGAAATTTGGGATCGTGTTATAAAGTGGGGCACAGCGAATACACCACAGCAACCGCGTGTGCGTCGTGCTTCGGGTCCGAACTTGGATGGAATCGAAAAAACTTTGCATAAATGTATCCCACATATTCGATTCTTTCACATATCAGCCGCTGATTTTCGTATAAAAATCTCTCCGTACAAAAGTATTTTACCAGTTACGTTATATTCAGATTTATTCCAATTTCATGCCGATCCAAAATACAAACCAGTCACGAAAGTACTTGAAGCGCGTCATGGCGCCATCGAATCCGAAATTATTGACAAGAAACAAGCGGCGTTGATTGCCAGTTGGATTGATCGAAGGGACGAAGCATATGACGAGACAAATGTTAACTCACCAAACATTAATAACAATGTTTCTTTTGTCCCATATAAAGTGTCCGAAAGTCCATACGAATTTGAATTAATTCTACGAGGAAGCCAGGCAGGATTCACAGCAAAAACATTTCACGAACACTGTGACGACAAAGGACCAACAGTTGTACTAATGAAAGTACGTGATTCCACCGAAATTTTGGGCGCATATAACCCTTTACACTGGGAATCCAGCTTAGTAGATTTAGCCACCACTGAGAGTTTCTTGTTCTCAATGCGCGATAAAGATGACAATCCTAGACGCGCAATCCTATCTCGAGTCAAGTCACCGAAACACGCTATTGTCTGTGCACCAGATAATGGACCGACGTTCGGCGCGCCATACGCATTGGCGATGCGAGATAATTTCAATGATCCGGAGAAAACTGGATGCTGTGGCGGTACTTCAGCAAGTTATAATGTTGCTCTGCGATCGATAGAAGAACGTTACTTTTGGGTTGACGAGTATGAAGTTTTTAAAGTTGTTAGACGGTCTGAATTTGATTCGTCAGAATGTGTTGGCAAATAATCTTCTTTTTATTATTAATTAGAATTACTGTACAATAATATTCTCATCACGTTACATTCTATTTTTTCCCTCATCGCACTATACATATTCTTTCTCACTCTGCACATATATTTACACACATACATTTACACACATACACACACATATATATATAAATACATTTATATACAGTACATATTATTTTTCCTGTAATTTTTTCGCACACTACGTACGTAGGTATTTTGTTCTGTTTTATAATTTTTATTTTTTAAGAATTTTCTTTTTCTATTTTCTCTTAATTAAATCGTAAATCGATATAGGTTAAAATGCTTTATTTTATTTGATAATAAAAAAAATAGTTTTAAATGTTTATACCGTATTAACAAATTCAATGGTCTAACGTATGAGAACCTCAAACAATTGTTTTCTATTGAACTCGTTTATTTAACCTCCCCACTAGCTTTACACACCAGAAATAAAATGTTAGCAAATTAATTGGATGGGATAACCTGCGCATCCTTGATGCCGAATTTCGAGTACATTAGTCGTAGCAGCCTCGAAATTAAGGAATTAATCAAAATAGTCGCAGCATTTTTATGATGCAGTGTCAAGAAATCTGTGGCTGAGCTTCGGTTGTTGCGATGTTTTCGTTTGAAAAGCCAGAGTTGTCCGAATCGGTGTGGCACTAGCCACATTTTTATTCTTATAATGCAATCATTTCAAATTCATTTTCTTTCTGAATGAAGTTACAGAGAACTCTCCCTAAATGCACACTCTGTTTTTTATCATATGTTCCGGGGGTGCACTTAGGGAGAGTTCTCTGTATATTAAAATTCTATTTCAATTCTTAACATAAATACTGTAAATAATTTGCATGTGACCGAAAATGATTAGCCAATTAAATATAATAAAGATCTCATCTAGGGTCAGCTCTATAGTAACTCAATATTATGTAATATATGGTCTTCCCCTTATATATAAATTTATGATGTAATAGATATATTGTTTAGTACTCTAGCCATGGCAAAAAAAGGGTCGGATCATGTGATATTTATGCATGTTCGGAAAAATTCTACGATAATAGAGGTTAATGTTAAAGATTAATTTAAAGGTTAGGATTAGGGTTAGGACTAGAGCTGAAACCAAGGTTATATGAAAATTGGCCTTCCCGACCCTTTTTTAGTGTACCAAGCTGAATATACTCATCTGTTTCCGTATTTTTTACATTTTTTTGCTTTTTTCATTAGCTTGTGTCGGATTTGTTTTGCCGGCTGATTAAAAATTACGAATTTGTGCCACCAACAGAACGTGAACCGACCCTTTTTTTGCCATAGCTAGGTACTTTATATGTACTGCGATAAAATTCGTTTTGAAAGAACATGGAGTGCTGACACTTTTAAATTTATTGACTGCTGTAGATGGTTCTTAATGACTGAATTTAATACAATCAAGACCTTCTTTTGAAGTACCATATAGAGTCTATGACTGAAAATTTTGCTTTAATCAATCAAATTGTATTCACATGTTTCTTTTACAATATTCTATAGATATTGCATATCGAATCCTGCTACTCTGTTTCAATCAAATGATTTTGCAAAACTTCAAACTACTCTAGTTTCTTTGCTCAGACATGTTAATTAGTAACTGACCCCCCCCATAACTTTCACAAACGCTGATCATTGATATCTTGAATAGGTTGGTTGATAATATACTAACGCTAATGTCATAGATAATCATCAAACTTCTTACACCAGTGTTGTCACTTGGACGTAAATTCAACAATTTGATTGATCGGGACAAGCATTTTGACCAATCAACTTGCTGTATTTACGTCCATGTATAACACTGCCTTACACAAGCGTTATGAAATCATTTTTTACATACTCTCCCGAAGGTTCAAAGTTTGGACTTGTGGCCACTTCAAAGTACTCGGTTGTGCTAAAGGTACAGTAGTTAACAGAATCAAAAAATGGAATAAAACAAAATATTTAAATAATGAACCAAAATCGGGTCGGAAACGAATTACAACTCCAAAACAAGATGAAAAAATAAGAGAGCTTGCAAAAATGAAAAAAACGTAACTTCCACCGAAATACAATATAGAATGAAAAACTATAATGTTGACATTAGTGTGGATATTATTCGGTGACGTCTGCATGAAGCTGGGACTGAACATACAAATCAGCTTTCCAAATCTCTACATATTGAAAAGCTTAAAAAATGACTACAGTGTTGGAACAAGCATAAGAACTTTGATTTGGATCGAGTAATTTTTCAGGTGATGCACCTTCACCTAAATCAGCGAGGAAGAAAGTGTAAATGTTTCCTGGTAGAAAAAGTGTTCCGTCTTGTAAAGCATCCATTAAAAATTTATGTATGGAATGTTTTTCGACTTCGGGATTTAGTAAGTTGATTTGCTTCCAGAGGAATCTAAACGCTGATTTTATGGTTACAATGTATAGGGAGGAACCTCTGCCTTCCGTCGAAATACTTTTTAGTGAGGGTTGTGTAGACAGGAGGATAATGATCCTAAACACCGTTCGAAACTGGCAAAAAATGGAAGAAGGAAAATAATGTAAAGGTTCTTCCCTGGCCATCGATGTCACCAAATCAAAAATGTCTGGGGGATTATGAAAATGAATATTGCGAAAAAAAATTAGAACTCTTAAGTATTTGAAAAGTGAATTAGTCAAAGAATGGAACCATTACTTAATGATCTGGCGGCAAAATTGATTAACAGTATGAGAAATCGTGTGGCGAGCTAATTGAATCCCATGGTGATTATATTTTATATTAGTGATCATGATAAATTTCAATTACTTACGCATTTGACTGTATTTAGCATTAGAACTCATCGTTATTAACAGAATTTATCACATCATTACTTGTTTCCAGGAAGTGAATAAGCATTCTATTCAAATTCAAAACGTAATGATAACAATACTTATCTGAATACTAAAATAAACTATTAATCCGTATTATGAGGTATTCGAGATGAGTTGACAATCTATGATTTTATCGACTTTGTGATAGCAAAGATCAAACTGTTGAAAAAATAATTTGTGTGTATAATCCAGTTGAATGGACTTCATTTGATTGTGCTTCTCGCATGCCAGCTTGGAAGCCAAAATAAGCCAGTACAAGATGTAATAAATAGATACTTTAAATTAGTGAATATTAAATGTTCTTTTTGTCACTCTGAATAATAAATTAATACTGGTTGCAAGCCAGCTCACAAGAAACACTAAGCTTGATCTATGGTGTAAGAAACAAAATATCTATTTGATTCTATGAATAAGCTATAGTAATGCAAGAGATTATAATTTTGCATGTATTCAAGAACTAGTTTTTGGATTTGTAGTTGAGAGTAGTCTGTTGAGCACCAATATGAGAATTACGTTAATATTGATCATTATAAAGTATTCAAATTGTACATAAGTAATTTATTTTATTTTTGGCCACTTGTTATTAAAAGTATTCTTTGTTCAAATTTATATTATTAAAAAATTTTACAATTGCAGAAACTACAAAATAAGAAGTAATTCAAACTCACCTAAATAAAATTTATTAAATATATAGTCTATTAAGTTATAACTTGCTTAAATTTATAAATACAACCAACTCTTTTTATTGTCTACATGACAGGACCAGGCATTTTTGTTGAGATATAAGAGGGTTGATAACTCAGAGTTAAGAGGTATTGATATTAAAAGGGTTGATAATAGAGAGGGTTGACTGTACATATCGATTACATGCAGCAATCAATGATATAAAGATTTAAAAATAATGTAGTAGTCAAAATCTAAATAGACAAAAATATCGAATTCCAATATTAAATGTTTTAGAAGTCTAGTGAAATATCAAGATTGTGTAAATATAAATATATAAACGATAGACATTTTGGAAATACTTTCAGCCAGATGTCAACACTGTTATAATGTAAATGTCATAACTTTCAAAAATGAAGTATCGTAAAAGATTTTGATGTTTTCACACAGAATTCATTAGAAAGCATGTAATAACTGATAAAGCTATACAGAATTCGTCGCATTTCTAGTATCTCTGTATTTGCTTTTTTAAAAGGGAAGGGTTAATGGCTTTATTTAATATTCTTTATATATTTTCTTTAGACCCTTAAAATTAGATACTATTTTAGACGATGTACAAAGATTCAGGTTCGTGAAGCTAACAGGTTTAGAAACCAACCCTCTACTTTTCTTCATTTATAAAGCTTGTATTATAAGAGATTTATTTTATTGCTTTTCTGTCACTGTTAAAGCGCGTTTTGTGCTCATATTGGAATTAAATATACCTCTAAGGAGAAGTGAATTGCCGCCGGAATATGTGTTCAGATACTAATTACTTGTGCAATATTGGAATGTGCTCTGATCCAAAAACCTGTGTAGTGAATGCATTATATATCTCATTCGGCATATTTGCCCGCTACTTTCGTTTGTTTCCAGAATTGCCCAAGTAAAGAAATTGCAAACTTGACATCCAGATTGAGTAAATCTATTTTTCAAAACGGCAAGGTTTGACTAATTGAGTTCAATAAGTAATTTACGTAAATACGCTTCCAAATACACTCATGCTCACATAAAAGAAATAAAAACTGACTGCTTAAGTTATACAAGTTTAAACAGCAGTACTACTAACGCTAACGCTAACTCGCTTTATCGAATTTTACTCAACGGTATGGTATGGTAATACAATAATACGTATTTAGATTACCAAATAAATTGCACACATTACCTAACTTACTTTCTCTTAGTCTTTTTCTCCTTTCATCTTTTTTTTTTGATTTTCTATTGCAATATAATTCAGAAAGGTAAATTTCGCTTTTAGAACCACAAAACACACAAATTTTACACTCTTGAAATCATCGGTAAGACACATATCCTACATTGTATTTTCTATTGTACGCGTAGTAATACTATTATTGGGCGAATGGTGTATTTGCACGCTCTTCGACGGAATATCTTCTTCCGCGTGGTCATCCATTAAACCCACCCACAATACCAAAAGAAAAGATTACGCACCATTCAATGGTAGACTTGGCCGTCCAAAAAAGTTCCTATGCGGAGGATACCTAATTGACACAAAGTTTTCAATACCGAAGAAGTAATTAATGGATCCAATTTCCCCGGAAAATTAAAACCTGCAGACGCTATTATTCCACTTATTTTCCTTGAGGAATCTATAAGCAGAATTCATGTTTTAGCTTAAATCTAAAATGAAAAATATAATAAAGATTTGTCATAATGGTGGACTGTGAAGTTTCCTTCTTATGATGGTGGCAAAATGTACACTGTAATTGCTACTTATCATCGAACATGTCCCGATATTTTTTAATTAGAAAGTAAAAATCTCTGAAACTGTCCCCTTCTTGTAATACATGTGAAAAATGTATAAATGCAGTCGATATTTAACGTGTAAAATCCACAAAAGGCTGCTCAGAAATGTCAATTAACGTTAACTTGTGTTTAAGCACGACATTTAATACTTGTGATAACGATAATGGCAGAAAAATAACTAAACGGCCTGTTAGAGTAAAAGTGTACATTATATAGAAAATACTTCAAAGTTTTGAAAATTTTTTTTCTAAAAACCAAATAAATCTTTCAGATGCTCGAATGAGAGGTGTTTATTAATATTAGAACTATTGTAATGATTATTTTATGTATATAGACTAAGATCGAGATATTGTTTGAATGATTTCCTTCAAGAATGACAGTTTTTGAAGTTCAGCTTCGATCAAAATTTTTATTCAATCAATCGAATTTTTATAAGCGTTTAATTTTTGATCTGAGATGTTTAAGTTATATCTATAATTTGAAAAGTTCACGCAAGCTTTTCGGGATTTAACAATTGACAACCAGAAGATGAATCGTCAGGAATACTAATAGCAATTCCGCAAAGATTAATTGGACTTTGTACAGGTGCGTAAACTTGATTACCATTGAGAATGCCAGTATTGCCACTGAAAATGACAGTATTAGCGTTATCAGCACTTCTCTTAGACTTGGGAATAGGTACTGCGGAAACCATGGATAAAAAGAGGATGACGGTCAAAAATGCAGGAAATCGATTGATGTATTGGAAATTCATTTTTTTGCGTGAGATTTTCTTAACAAGTTTAAAAGAGCACCGCTATTTATAAGAAAGAAATGAAGTATAATTGATTGAAATATTGTTTCGATATCAATACGTACATGTACATGTAAATGTAAAAGGAGTACGTACATGCATGCTACATGTACATGTATTTATTTCTAGTAAATCTAGGATTGGTGTAAATTTGAATGTATATACGTAAAGATACATGTACATGGACAAAGATGCACTTGTAAGTACGTACGTATATGTACATATACATGTATTATACATGTATATAGGGTGGTGTCAGTAGAAAAGGGACAAATTACTCTAATAGATTTGTCCCTTTTCTACTGACACCACCCCAATATTTCGAAATACTTGAATTACGACAGTAGGTATTTTACGTTAAACTAAATAATTTAGGCAAGTTTACCGATATTATATTTTAAATCTATATAACAAAAAACACGGATATCCTAAAGATTCAGATTTACATATCTAATCATGACGATAGTCTGCTAGAGATAGGATCGATTCTCTAGAATCGATTAATTTAGAATAGATTCTGTCATGCTTTGATCACTGATCCTACACTGATTTCAGTTCCTATTGCCACCTTTAGTTGCACATGCTTAATCTGATTGGATTACTGGATTACTAGTACACTTTTATGATACTGTACAGTGCTCATCAGAAGTAACATATCCCCTTAACTTTTCATAGATCATGTGTAATGTACCAAAATTTTTCAAGCACAAAGAATATTACAAATGCTGATTGTTGATACTTTTTATAGATTGGTAGAGCTTTTATATTGTACATTAGATGTTCATAAACTTTCATGTTCCAAATACAATAAATCATTTACTTTAGAATATAATATCTCAATATCTAGTGATCCAATTTGAGCAAAGTACTATTTGGTTTGTCTAAATTAGAAAAATTTAATAGTGTTATTCCAGTTCTTTTAACAGTATTTATATAGCAGAAGGTCTTTAACGGGTCTCTTCTTACAGTTATAAGAGGAG